ACCTGAGTGTCTGCCACCTTTACCTAATTTTGAGGCTATTAGATATTATGAGCAGGAGATCATGGGGAGCAGAGGAGCCCTGGGTGGACAGGGAATGGAAAGAAAGGCAAGCAGAAGCCTCCGGAAGCTCCTGGAGTCTCAAGGAGGAAGGCTGGAGGCTGCAAGGCTGCCTGTAATCTTCAGTGTGGAATACACATTCACATCACATACATAGAAAAGATTAGCATGGGCATGAAGTCAAGAGGCTGGGGGGGACACCATCTACAAGGGGGAACTTGGGGCCATCATTACAGGAGGTGTAGGGATAGACTGAGGCTGAAGCACAACTGGAGGCATTTGAAAGCCCGACCAGAGCCTGGCGTCCCTGAGTGACTGGCACATACATGAATGACAGAGTGGTGGGAATCAAGGAAAGGTAAAAATGTGGCTCTGAGAGAAAAATAGGCTTAAGGCTGGAAGGAGACACGTCCCAGGGAGCTCTATATTCTTGTCTCACCTGTAGATACACAGCAGAGGGAAGGTCAAAAGAGAAAACGCTAGGCAGACTCAGCACAGACATCCCCAGATATCAGTATCCCCAACCTCACTGAAAACCAGCTTCTCAGAGAGACATAGAAACAACCAGATCTGCCATGATGGACAAGACCCAGTGCTGACTGGCCTCTGGCCCTAGACCCTAGCTCTTCTTTACTTTTTCTTAGGCTCCTTGCCTTGTGAGGGTCATGAGATACCCATTAAGATACCAAGATTTTGTGGGCATAGGCTATGGGGTGAAAAGCCCAGAGCGGTGCCCTGAGTGGGAAAAGTGTTTGCTATCCCAGGGATGGGTGTGGCTGGAGGATATAGACAGCTGGTCGGTCCCTGAGAAGGAGACTGGGAACCTGGTCAAGAAGGCAGGAAATTTGGGAAGGCAGATGTTTCAGAGAAGAGGGCATGACAGTTGAAAGGGATTTGAGAGCGTTTATTTGCTTATCTATTTGATTATTTTTAAAATTATTTTCATGCCTTTTTTTGATGAATGCACACAAATCATATGTGAGATTACCCAATCCAAATTTTATTTGAAATTGTCACATGGGTAAGCCATGTTATTAAATATTTTATTTTAACAATATTTAGTCAATATTTCTAAAACTATTATAGAGACTCATCATTTTTAACAATTTTCATATTGCACATTTTATTTTAATATTAATAAATATCCGTTATTTTATATAACAGGTAAAATATTTCCAATTAGTGTCCATCGCTTGAGATTTTTTTAAAAATGATTACACAATGGAGTATTACTCAACTGTTAAAAACAAAGACATCATGAAATTTGCAGTCAAATGGATGGAACTAGAAAAAAGTCATCCTGAGTTAGGTAACTCAGATCCAGAAAGACAAACATGGTGTATACTCACTTATAAGTGGACATTAGCTGTAAAGGATAATTGTGCTATGGTCCACAGACCCAGAGAGGCTAAGTAACAAGGAGGGCTCTTTAAAGCCATAGCCTTGGTCATATTTAGTTCCCTGCAGGAGAAGAAAATGCAGAAAGAGAACAATGAATAGGGTGAGGTTCCTTGGTGCAGGCCAGGCCAAGAGAAAGAGACTGGGATGCCCCAGGCCATTCTATGGTTTTTGTATAGGTGTACAGATAAAATAGATGGTGAAGTGAGGTCTCAAATGTGGGGAGAGATGTGGCAGAAGTAAAGCCAGTAAGAAAAGCAAAACTATGGGCTGGAGAGATGGCTCAGAGGTTAAGAGCACTGACTGCTCTTCCAGAGGTCTAGAGTTCAATTCCCAGCAACCACATGGTGGCTCACAGACATCTATAATGAGATCTGGTGCCCTCTTCTGGCATGCATGCATATAGACAGAACACTGTATACATAATAAATAAATAAGTCTTTAAAAAAAAAGAAAAGCAAAACTAGACAACCACTGTACTGGCTGGTTTTGAGTGTTAACTTGGCACAAGCTAGAGTCATCAGAGAGGAAGGAGCCTCAGCTGAGGAAGTGCCTCCATGAGATCCAACTGTAAGGTATTTTTCTCAGTTAGTGGTCAATGGGGGAGGGCTCAGCCCATGGTCAGCAGTGCCATCTCTGGACTGGTGGTCCTGGATTCTATAAGAAAGCAGGCTGAGCAAGCCATTGGGGAGCAAGTCAATAAGAGGCACCCTCCATGGCCTCTGCATCAGCTTCTGCCTCTAAGGTCCTGCCCTGTTTGAGTTCCTGTCCTGACTTCCTTCGATAACAAACAGCAATATGAGAGTATAAACCAAATAAACCCTTTCCTCCCCAACTTGCTTTTGGTCTTTGTGTTTCATCAAAGCAACCTAGTATGGCCTGTGTGCCTTGCACATTCCCTGAGAGTCTCATCAATAGACCCCTGTGCCTCATATGTGGACCAAGTGTGCTTCATCTATGGCAGTGGTTCTCAACATTCCTGTTTCTGGGACCCTTTAACTCCTCATGCTGTGGTGACCCCAACCATAAATTATTTTCATTGCTACTTCATAACTAATTTTGCTACCATTATTAATTGTAATGAGCATCTGCTATGCAACCCATGTGAAAGGGTCATTTGACCCCAAAGGGTTTGCAACCCACATGTTGAAAACCACTGCTGTAAGAGTCAAATATGTGGGCCTGTCTGTGTTTACCACATACAAGTCAAGTATGGATCCGTGTGCATCATTTGAGGGTCAAGTGTAAAGGTCTGTGTACATCACCTGCAGGTAATCTCTTGCTTTGTGCAGAAACGCTTTGGTGTGTCTCGGTATAGTGCTTCAAGACTACTCAGAAGCAACCCGTCCATCAGCGTTAGCCTCTAGCAATAATGGTTAGTCAGGAGATAGTCATTCCCAAACCACCAGGTATACAATGCCTATCATGAGGAGGAGCCACACCAAATATGCTCAAAGAAAAGGGTACCGAGGCAAATTTCTTCCTTGGGAGGATGCACCATTTCATTTCCACATGACCAAAGCCATGTACCTACAATTTAGCCAGGAAAAGTTAGTGATCTTCTATGACAAGATGTTAGTGTCTATCTCAGTAATGCCACCTCTGTCAAGACTTGCTGCTCACCTTTCTTCTCTGCTATCACTCATATGTTGATTGATTTACCTCCAGCTTGGTATCACACGGCAGCCAGGTGGCAGCTGCTTCTCCAAGAATCAGGAAAGAGGGAAGGAAAAGAGTTGGCCCAATGGGAGGATAACACAAGTTCCATGCTCCTGCCGGGTTCTTCAAAACACCATTAGCTAAAACTGCGACCTGGATAACTTGATACCAAGGAGATAGACTGCAATCAGGGAATTGCTCAAACTGCTCATAGGGCTGAGCTGTGGAGAATTATGACAAGTCACAAGGACTGCGAGATATGGTCTTAAGTACATCTAAGGAAATCTCTGCTAACAATCAACAGTGGGACAGTGAATGTATTGATAGTGGTGTATCACCCATTGAACAGGAATGGGAGGGATGTTGAGCTGCTCCAGTTCTCTAGGACAGACCTTAAAGAGAGGCTGAAGTCACAGGCATTCATTCACCTCAGTCACTGTGCCAGGGTACTCATATAAATAAAGAATAACCAGAAAGCAGAGAATAAGGCAGAGGTGTGTCTGTTAGAAGTGCTTGGCTCTTTCTTAGTACCCTGAGCCCAGTACAAATGACCTGTTCCTTTCAGGTGGAAGTAACTCCAGAGGCAGGATTCCTCTTACATCTTGGAGTAGTTGACATAGGAGCCCTCCATGAGCCCTCTTTGAATCTTCCCTGAGCCCAGAAATAGGCAAAACTCGCCCTATCACAGAGTCTCATGGTAGACAGTGGTCTATGGAAAAGAGCTCTAGTGCAGGGCTGGTGGACAGACCCCAAGATACAGGAAACTCTCAACTCCAGCTCCCCAGTCACATGTCTTAGTGACAGTGTCCCATAACAAGTCACCAATCACAACAGACTCCATCCTTCATTCATTCATAGTTTTCTTTCCAGGAAGAGTGTGCAGAAGGTTTGGAGGGGGCTGGAGGTAGAGGGAGACAGTCACCTGGGCTAGAAGTCTGAGGGGGTAGAGAGTGGGGTAGACTTGAGCATCAGGAGGTCAACTTTGCCCCAAAGTAGACAGGTGCTAGAGGACCTTATAGGGGCTATTTGGGAGGAAACCTTGGGAGACTTCTTAGGAATCAGTGGTGAACTGGGTGTTGGTGGCGCACGCCTTTAATCCCAGCACTCGGGAAGCAGAGGCAGGCGAATCTCTGTGAGTTCAAGGCCAGCCTGGTCTACAGAGCTATACAGAGAAACCCTTTCTCAAAAGACCAAAAATAAAAAAAATTTAAAAAGGAATCTGATGGGGGAAGAGCTTCTGTGTGTGTTTGTCTTACTGGATGATTAAGTTCTGTTTGGCCAATGAGGCGGCATGTTAGACGGGACTAGGATTCTGGGAAATGTAGTAGAGAAGTGGTGATCCAGGCAGCAAGTGACATAGCAAGGAGACTCATATTTAAGCAAGGAGAAACAGGAAGTGTCCTTTCACCCCTTCACCTCCTCCAGAGACGGGATGTGATCCACCGGCAAGGGAGGACACCAATGGAAGGAGTCCAATAAGATAAGTCTTATAAAATATATAGATTTATGATAATTAAGACTGAGCTAACAGATGAGAATCCTAGTCATTGGCCAAGCAGCATTTGAACCTAATACAAGTTTCTGTGTATTAATTTGGGCCCTAACTCGGCGGGTGGCTGGCGTAAAGCACACACATGGCAGTGGGGCTTAGTGGCTTTTAGTGGAAAGATTTATCGTAACAGGAATCAGTGGTGAGGTGAGTGAACTAGGAAGAACATTAGAAACTGGCTGAACTCTCTCTGCCCATAGACCGTGTCCTGAGTTCAGAGGTAGAGCTACCACACATCACAGACTGAACTGTGACCTCCTAGAGCTTAGCTCCACTGTAAAGGCCTAAGAGGGCCAGATGTCAGACCACATAAATAACCTCCCTCCTCTCACTGCAGTGTCCCCACTTCAGCTCATTCGCTGATGAGCTCACCGACTATGTGACAAGGAACATTCTGTCTACACCAATCATGAATGGCAAAGATGTCGTGGCTGTGATCATGGCAGTGAATAAGCTGGATGGCCCATGCTTCACAAGTGAAGATGAAGACGTGAGTGTCCAGGGGATGTTAGCCCACCCATGTCTTCACACGTGCTTGCTCTGTGTGTCTGTGTACCTACTATCTCCCAGCATGCCTTTGCTCATCTGCATGTCACTGTCTCTACTCATGTGGTTATGTGAGCCATGTCCCTGACAAGTCTTGGTCTGATTTGTGTCCCTCTGCTAATCTGAGTATGTGAGATGTATAAGTCATGTCCTTCAAATATCTGTGTGTCTCTGTTTATGTGGGTGTGTGAGCGATGCTTCAGCTAGTCTTCTCGGTGTATATGAGTCATGCCCTCTGCATATCTTTGTGTGTGCAAGTCCACACCCATGAGTGATAAGTATAGCTTACCTCTATGTTTGCATGTATGTGGTGCTTCCTCCAGGGTCTTTGAGGTGTGTCTCTTTTCTGCATATATGTCCCTGAACATCTGGGTTTCTGACTGAGGTTGTTATGATTGCTGTTTCAGGTTTTCACAAAGTACCTGAATTTTGCTACATTAAACCTGAAGATCTATCACCTAAGCTACCTCCACAACTGTGAGACACGAAGAGGCCAGGTACCTGCATGCCCCAGCTGGTCCTTTCCCAACCTTCCGCCTTTCTAAGCTGTTTTTTCTTCATGAATGGTCAAGACACTGTGTTGTCCAATCAAAGCATGACTCTGGCCTAACAGGTCATGTTAGGCCAGATGTTCCCATCCATGTCATTGTCTGTACAAAACTGAGTAGGCGCAGGGACGAAGTGCTCACCTAGGCAGGTGGGTTATGAGGCAGAAGCTGGAAAGTCCTCTGGCCTAGTAGGCACAGCTTCTCTCAGAGCCTCAGACAGGCTCCACTCTCCTCAGATACTGCTGCAAACCTTTGGAGAAACCCGAGTGAACTGTAAATTAACTAAGCACATAATTTCCTTGTGGGGTTGGGCCTGACAGAGAATCTGGGATTTGTCTACGTTACACATGATAGAAACCTGAGTGTAGCCAGGCGGTGGTGGTACGCACCTTTAATCCCAGCCCTCAGGAGGCAGAGGAAGGTGGATCTCTGTGAGTTCAAAGCCAGGTCTACAGGGTGAGTGCCAGGCTAGGCTTCAAAGCTACAGAGAAACCCTGTCTTTAAAAACCAAAAAAAAAGAAAAAAGAAAAGAAAGTGAAGGAAGAAAGAAACTTGAGTGTACACCAGAGTCAGCGTGCTGGGTTTTGAAACTAATATCGGTATGCCATAGGCTATACAGCACAAGAGTTCAGAAGAGATCTCAAAGCAAAGTTCTCCTACCTGAGTCTCAGCCTGTGTGAGCCTTCAAGAAATCCCAAGCAAGCTGGGTGTGACAATGCATGTCCATATCCTAGCACTCATGAGTGAGAGGAGAGGAGAGGAGAGGAGGGGAGGGGAGGGGAGGGGAGGGGAGG